ATTTTACAGACTTACCTGAATGGTGAAATACTTCCATCAGCCCACTGGTAGAGGTCAGGGCAAGCACCTGAGGTGGCTAGTCCATCACCACTTCTCCACAACCCAATCCAGAAATCGCCATCAGAAATCCCAGAGCCTGACTTAGTGAGGTTTTGCAACATGTTTTCTATTAGTTGCTGCTCAGCTTCACTTTCCAGGCTCAGTAAAGCGCCACCATCAATTTCACAAGCTTGGCGGGCCTCCTGAAAGCCCACACGTCTAGACAAGTCCTGGAAATAAGCTAACTTGTAACAAGAACGCTTGAGGTCACCATAGCACACCTTTTGACCTGAAAAACATAAATATGAGAGTGTTTAGAGTATTAGTATTTAATGAATATAACAACTGGAAAAAAAAAATAGCACAGCATCCATACAGTGATGGAGAAGGACAGTAGGTTTTTTCCTATGCCCCTCTATGAAAGGGCTCACGATGATACAGTGACACTGCTGAAAAACTTAGCTTTAATTTAAATTGCAAATATCATACAGTTCATGGGAATCTATGGCTTTCTTCCCAAGGCCTGTGAAATTCTCCAAGACACTGAAAACTCCCACTAACTTCTGGAAGAATGTTCTCTACTTTAATCACTGTACCATCAGGCCCCTCTGTTAAAGCCAGGATCTGTTTGGAGGGTATTTTCTTAACTATTTCGTACTAAGGGACCAACTCTACTTCTATTTGGTAAGCAAAGCTATCTGATCAAACAAAAGTGTTTATAATTATCAATTTTAGTGGCAAGAAGCAGCTAGAATTTTCTTGATTCTTCTATCTACCTTGAGAGGGTGTATTTACAATAACCTCATAGCTACTCTTCACTATAATGCGTCTAAATACAGCCTGTAAGGGTGTGTGGAAGAAGAATGTCTGCTCTTTTAAGAGTATCTGGTCAATGACTTTTTCAGTGCAAAGAAGGGTAACAAGAAAAGGAGGAAGCCACAAGCAAAATAGTGAGATATAAACCTGACAGGAAAACTCAATGGCGAAAAAGACAAGAAAAAACCTCATCAGACACACTAATTGGAAGGCTATCAAGAAACCGCAGGCAAACAGGACTTTGCAACTTCATAAGGATGCACACCTGGGGACCCAGGATGTTGGTGGGACTATGCCACCTGATGAGAGACCTTGAAGGGGAGGAACAAAGGGGGAGTGGACAGAAAGCAGTACAAAAGAGGCCAGTTGCATGTAAAACAGGGGAAGTGTGTGTGGGTCTGGACATGTGCCTTCCCTAGTGACCTATCTCTACCAGCCAACAAGGAGGCGGGGAGTTGGCTGTTTATGTTTTATGTGGGTCCCACACATGGATGCTGTTGAAGGCAGCACCTTGTCTGTGGCAATCTGTGTGATGGCCATGTCACAGTCCCGTCTGGGTGGTGCTGGGATACTTGCTCAGCTTTGCTACTGGTTGAACCAGCAAAGGGGAAAGCGGCAGACGCATCCATCAGCTCAGAGAGAGGCCCTGGGTACTGGGGTGGGCACCAGTGGCTAGACAGGAGGAGGTCCTGGGACTGGAGGCAGGGGTCACACTCTTAACATCCCTTAACACAGCCAACAGAAATTCCAGATATTAGCAGATATTACAGTACTATCCAGATACCATAAAGATGCCCTGTGGTGCTTTCAAAAAGCACTATATCTACTGCATTCACACCAGTTTTTCCTTGCCCTTCAGGGTTATGTCTGTGGAAAGAATCAAAACCCAAATGACAAAATAATGGTTTTTTTCCTTATAGTTCTTTAGCTGAGAAAGACATCTCCTTTTTCCTAAAAGGAAAAATAATTATCATCATCTTCAACTAGTGAGATTCTCTAGAGTTTATTCAATATACACAAGATGTAGAATCAACAAACTCACTTATCAGCTACAACTGAACTCCAGTATGTTTATTCAGGGATAGGAGAAGGGTTTTATATATTTATATATATAAGAAAATAAGCTAACCATCTCTTAAAAGATCATGTTTCTTTCACTATGGAAATTTATCATTGGTGAAGAAAAGTAGGAGAGTTTATTTTGCTAAGTAAGAATTACCAAAGGATACTGAAGTAATAAGAGTTACCAGGCATTATCTGGAATGTTTAGAAATCAACAAATTTTATCATTTTCCTGGAAAATTTTGCAAGGACAGTATTTTATTTTACCGTGTTAGTTTTGCATTTGCAAATCTTATATTTACTCCCACTCTTAAGCAAACCCAGATACATGACTCTCTCCCTTTGGCTATACATTTGAACAGGTTTTATTCTGTTTTACCTTAAAAAAAAAAAATTGTCACTGGGAAACAGCAACATCATCCTATAACTTAAGTAGTACTCAAGTTGTTTAAGGCAGTGGTTTTTTATACACAAAAAATAAATACAGAATTGAACAAAGAAGCCTAAAAGATACAATAAAATTAATTCTTCTTGGTTTAGTGTTGCTTCATTTTCATATTTAATGTCAGAGTAGCATACTTCCCATAGCAGATTGCATACAGGCATACAGCACAAGATCTGACTTCTCTATATTTGCACAGAGCATAGTTTCAAGACTTTGCAGAGAATAAGCAGACTGTATCAAAGTTACATAAACAGAGGAACATAAAACCATGATCGTCTCATACTTTTTAGCTTTTCACACTTAAAAAGATCCCCGCAATAAGAGATACTTTCTGATTTAGCTATCTAAATTATAAGGACAGTAGGGATAAACTATGTTTAGTTTTCTAGTTTTTCCTACGGTTTTTGTAACCTTTCTCAAAAAAAAAAAATCTCTGAAACCTTTTCTCTATGACACCTTATTAAAGTCCATCTGGGAGAAAGACTGTCGGTAACAGAAGTGTCTTTGCGGTCTTGGCAAAGACTTCTGAAAAGCTGCTTGTTATCAGTAATTGATCTGCCAAAATAATACAGGAATAAGAATAACCTAATCTAAGGACAAGCTTGTGCCACAAAAATCTATGGAAAAATCCAGGCTTTGAGGTCAGGAAGAGACCATCTATTTGGACTTTCTCTGATAACATCCTGACAATGCTGTGTACGTCCCAATTCCTTTCCTGTCATTTCCCTTTATTCATATAGGTTAAAAGCCTTGCTATCAGTGAAAGCAGTAAGAGCCATAGTCTCAAGGCATATAAAATAATGGGTTTCTTCATAAGATTTCATAGAACGAAAAGAAAAACTACCCCTATTTATCATTGTAACAAAGTGACAACTCTAAATGCTCAAAAGCAGGAAGTGCAAGAATGAAAGTCTCATGTGAAATTGCAACTCATTCCCTTCATCTATAATGTTGCCATTCAAATTTTGCAAACATGATCACAACCTTTTTATTTTCCCCAGGAGCTCTGTCTCATTGGCAGGATAGAATGCACACTGAAGGAGGAGCTGTTCAACATCTTAATCCTTACCACTGGGTGAGTGACTATGGCTTATTGCCAGACTATGTACATCGCAATGCAAACATCCAAAGGCTAGCACTGAATTATGTAGGACACTAATCATTTACAAGGAAAGGGGACCACACCTCTCCTTGTAACCAAAGATTACATTTGAAGCATTAATTCAAGATGTATGAGCAGAATTATGGAGAGTCCTTTGCCCATTGTCTTGTTCTTCTTATTTCCCAGACAATTTTTAGAAATAAATTCTTTTACAATTCCTTTCATTCTGTGCATATACTCCTCCTTGACCAAAGTATAAATTATGAGCAAATTCAGGTATCAAAATATCCCTACCATGATTTCAGTCATGCAGGAATGTTCAATCCACTAAAATGAGCGGGCTGGCCACTACCGATCACAATTCCTGTGCTGCGCTTCCCTTTCATGGGAAAACTGGTAGCTTTCCATCCATAACTCACACATCCACTCCCCTTCCCTGGGTGTTTCTCAGGTGGCTGAACTGCCCCCCTCACTCTCTGTTCTCATACAGTCTCTGCTCTTCTGTGATTGTCCCAAAACCTCAATCAAATGACCTCTCTAACAGGAGAAATGGGTCCTCGCTGGCTAACTGATCAAGCCTCTTCAGTGTACTTATCTTCCAGTCAGCTCCTGCACAGAGACTCACGGTGCCAAATGGCATGTGCCATTTCTGCTCTGCTATAAGGCTCACATTCCTAAGTTGCGCTGTATACTGGCCCAATACGGAGGTTGCATCAGGGTCAAGGCTCAGCAACATCACCCACACCAAGCTGAGGAAACCAGGTGGAACTGTATGGAGCTGGGAGGAGAAGGACAAGGACTTGTGATGCACAGCAGCAGAAAAGCTGCTTGATAGGTGCCACCACAGCCCCTGATACGTGCCCTTGTTGTGGAGTCAAGTAACAGCTTGCTCATGTTGTGCATGCAGAGCACAAAGATGTGAAGGCCTAATCCATACCCGAGGGTTTATCTGAAAGGGTTAGCGAGTTAAAACCTGGAAAGTTTGTGTGAAGACCTTTTCTTTTCTTCCCCTAAACTGATCACAATTTTTGAGGATACTATTGTTATCACAGATGTTTGTGCAGGGTTAAATAATTCTAAAATCAAGTATTACAAGGAGAAAGGCTTGAACAAGTGAAAATTTGCATACAATCCAACTCCTAAATTACTTCTCTTTCATTTGCCACAGGTGTAGAGAGCAACAAAAGTAGTAATTTCCTCCTTACAGGCTGATCATTTGTGGGAGAATATACCTCTAGAAAACAACAGAGAAAACAGCAAGAAACCAAGAAATATTTGGCATTAAGACCCATCTGGTGTGAATGAAGTATGTGATGCAGAGTAGTAAGCTTTCTGGAAGAAGCTGTGAAATTTTTTTGTTCTAGTTAATTTAGTCCCTGTGTATAGGCAATGACCTATTCTGAATCTTTTCTTTCTTCTTTTGAAGGGGACTTTTATCTGCTGTAGCTGAGCTAGTTCAATGTGTTAATGGAAAACTGCAGTTGTGCCTTAATAGCTGGCAAATCAGTTGACGTTTTAGTACTCTTCTTGGAGCACACTGAGATGTCAAGTTTTCAAGCTTCATTTTTTACAGCTTTCTCTCACTACTAATTTCTAAAAGCAGAAATCATTTACCAGTGAAAAATGACAGAACGGACCATAACGTATAGCAGACAAGATAAGTATGGAAACATTAACTGTGGGCTATTTTACCCTCTTCCAACATCTTTGCAGCAGACAAGACTCCACTGTTAGTTCTAAAGCACCATTTGCTACTTGAACTGCATAAACTGAATTCCAATTTTTCTGTCACAATTGAACAGAAACTACATTTGTAAGTAAGTCTATTGGAGTGAATCAGGCTAAGATACTAAGCAACGTTAATAAATATAGGCAAGTTAGGCCTTTACAACCTTTCCACAAGATCTGCCCTGTGCTGCTTGAAAGATGAAAGAAAACACGAAGGTAAACGTTGTTTCATCACAGGGTATCCAGAAAGGAAAAAAGAGCAGCATGTTATTGTATTTAGTCCTCCCTTCAGCATGAGACCAAAGAACTAACTAATTTTATAAGATCTAAGAACTCGTTCTTACTTACAACTCAGACAAGCTGAGGTTTCAACCAACCCTGTCTATCTGCATATGTGAAGGTGGAGTGCTTACACTCTTCCTTTCATGGAGCATATCAGCTCCCTTCCTTCACACCTTCCCTCATGCAAGCAGAACAGCCCAGACCCCGGTCAGAAGTAGGCATAGAAACAGGGAAAACAGGCACTTGGCTTGGTGTCATGAACCCACCCACACCTTACCTTGTCATCAACAATTGCTTTCTTGCCTGTTGAGGGAAGAGTGCTGTGTTGAAGCAAAAACTGACTGACAGACAAGGACTGTTCTCTTTTTTTCCCCCAGTTGCAAAACTGCAAGATTAGGTATCCCCAATTCCATAACGGAAAGGTCCCCAGGTTTGTTCTTTCTACCTCTCCTGCATACACCAGCCATACAACACAGCTCTGGCCCTGCTCCCTCAGCCTTTGCAGCTGTACCTGTCTACTGCAGAGAACCTGAACTGGCTGAAAATCCCTTGCACCCACTTTGTCTCACCATCCCATTAGCTGAAAAAAGCAAGTGTACAGTACTTGCTCTAAATGCTAGCTACCATTTCTATCCATATGGATCAGTTTTTCTCCTTGGGTGTCACAGCAGCTCCATAGTAGAGTGTTTCAATATCAATACTAAAACAAAGAGCTTTTCGCTGAAATACTTGATACTTAGTTAAAACGTTCCTGCAGATAATTCTGCAGGAAAAAAAAAATCTCCTTCAAGTGAAAAAGAAACAAGTAAAGCCTCCACTTGTATTTCAATCAATTATGTTTTAATAATGATGCATCGTTAAACAGAAATAATAGGTTCTTTTAGATCTGTCATGACAGAAGTTACAGGAAAATGCAATTTAGAAGCAAAGTTACTGATAAAGTACCCGCTCTAAGACTAATCCCTCTGAGAGCATGAGGCTCAGTCCTAACTACAGCCCCATGGGCCATGAGGGGCACAAAGGTTATCTTGAGTAACAAACATGACTCAGCTGGAGGTTTTGAAGATATGAGGTAGAAGATAAGCTCCCCGGTGGTAAACCCCATCCCTCTTCCTCTTGAACCTTAAACTAATGTACAGTCCAGGGTCCACCACCATTAGCATCCACCTAGATTAGTGAGGCACAGCAGCTGCATGTGCATAGCATTATGTGAGGAGAGAATAAAGGAATGCACAAAGCCTGCTGTAGAAAAGTCCATTATGTTTTTATACTGTGACTTTTTTCTTCACAAGATGATGGATTCAGCAGAAAACACAGAGGAGTATTTGGTACAAAGGAATGTGAAATATTTAATCAGAGGCCCAAAGGTCAGCATGAGGGCTGATGGAGGCCTCTGACAATAAAGTAACAAAATAAAGACATATGGACTTAAGTGAAATTGGTCATGAAATAATAGCAAGACAGAAATCTACATAAATGAACCAAAATATTCCACCAGCTAGATAACATTTCTCTGCTTGTGTTACAAAGACTAGTCTTGGTCTTGAGCTTGTCTGAGCACACTGACCTCAGGGGCTGTGTAACCAGCATACAGGACACTGGGCACAATTTGTTTTCACCTGTCCCTGTGTTACAGGGTGCTCCATGCCAAGTCCCAGTAATGCACTTCAAAATGTGGCCAGTAAGAGGCTAAAAGGTATTACATTTTCCTAATCACATTTTGATTCAAAGCTGATGCGTCTTGTCAACCGACCTTTATATTATCCAGTCAGATTTTGATTGGGTTCAGCTGCTGGTCATGTTTTGATATATTATGTTATTGCTGTTGATGTTTCACTGCATCATATTTGTGTCCATCTACTGAATTTAATTTGGGGTTTTGATGATTCATATTACTTTTTAAAAAAAATACTACTGTGATAAGACTTCATAATTATGTTCCGTCTTCATTTATGATAAAAGCAAATTGCCATCTTTTCTCCTGAAGTTTGTAATACTGAAGACACATCGTTCTCTAGTTGAGTCAGTATTTAAATCACAGATGTTGCTCAGATCATGCTCCTGAGCAGCTTAAGGAATTCTGTGTGCTAACAAATCTGCCGTTCAAACACAAACTGCTATATAGATCATATGCCAGCCTGTATCTGTATTGATATCTTCATAGCTAACTCTTCCATACATTAATAGGTATTTTTTCCTCTCACCCTCCTAATAACCAAGTCCTTAGAGAGAAGAGACGTTCATTATTGATTTATACTTTTTCTGGATTAGGGTTTATACCTAGTTGTCATAATACACTTTCTCCAAAGTGGTTTTTCTTTTGTGAAAAAATTTCAAAGGTTCCAAGTCCCTTTTAAGGGCTTATATAAAACAACTGAGGGCCGCATTTGCCTTTTAAGTAGCTGTATTTCAGGTAGATATGTGTACAGGCAGACAGTTTGCATACATCATATCATAGTCATTAGCAAATAGACAATGTCTAACCTAGCTTAATAGAGGCTGGCCCCAACCTCTCTTAAGCAAAATTCATCCATTAGCCAGACTTCTTACAATACTTGTCATAATGGGAGTCCCTTTCTCGCTAAATTCTTAAGCATTACCAGGTAAAAATTATATATGTGTAGATAGCATGTATGAAAATATAGGTAAAAGGCAAATTCTTTCTATTCTTTCTCAAACACAGGCCAGATAATCTATCTTTAGCCATTAACCATCCCATATCTTGTGAATTAGCAAAGATGATGATAGATGTCCTCAGACACCAGCCAAACAGCCATCTCTAGGATTAATGCAACTCTTGCAGAGAAAGAAAACAGGGGATGATGGAAGTTGTAAATAAGAAGGAAGCACTGTATTATACCATATTCATACAGAGATTTAGTATAGTTATGCAGAATGTGAAGCTACACAAGAAGCATTTGTCCCAGTCTGGTCCCTAACTTCTTTATTTTCTCCTTTGCCATGTGAAGTGATTTTTCAGTTAATTTATTGCTGAAATTGAGTTTTTACCTGTATGTCAGCCTTTTCTAGTTATGTTATTGTGTTTCCAAGTGTTTTTGGGCACATGGAGTTTATTTGGTTATTTCTGAATAACCACTGTTCTCAACAGACCCATAATAGCTACACTTCTACAAAACCAAGCACCCATAATAGCTACACTTCTACAAAACCAAGCAATCAGAAAGGAGGCAGTCTGTTTGTAAAGGAGCATTGGGCAGTGCTGATTTGAATATTAAAGAATATTACTTACCACGAGCACCTGGATTTTGGCATCTGGCTGAATACAAATGCAATTAACATGAAAACTGATGGCTTCCCTGTCTATTGCAGCAAGATAGCTGCTTAGTAAAATAGGTGGTTAAAAAATATACATATGAACACTGATGACAAGTATTGATCTAAATAGATTATTTTGGGGGAGGCTTGTTAAAGCCTCTATGTGCCTAGAACCTGCACTGTTCTAGGTCTTGGGAAGCTACAAGCAAGGACTCCTTGTCCTGCAAAATATAGATAAGTTTTTCATTGTGTTGAATAAAGAACTGGGAGGATTTGTCTTCCCCAGAGCAGACTACAAGTTTGTCTGGATTTTCAAAATCAGGGATGTGGTGGTCCAGAGATCAGCTTGTTCTTGATGTACTAGGAACTGGAATAGCTGCCCTCATGAAAGGCTGCCATCTTCACTGAGCAGCGATAGGCTTATTCACTCATTTTACAAAGAAAATAAACACACACATTTATTTGTTATAGTTAGCTTCTCAGCCCTGGCACACATGGCAGGGATCTCAGGCCACTGATAACAGAGCTGTAAAGAAGTAGCTTGATGTCTAAATCTCATTAGAAGCTAATCAACACTTCACCATCCATAATTAACCTTGCAGAACAACATACAATTACAATTATGTAAATCAATACAGGGTGTCTTCAACTGGAAAACAAATATCCATTTTTATGAAAGTTTTAATCACTGATTTGCCTGATATGTCAGTGTCAAAAAAAAAATCTTTAAAGTATTTCCCAAGTATTTCTTTTTTCTCCTCTGGTCAAATCATTAAATCCCTGACAGTTTTCCTTTCTTCTAAGTGAAGCATACCTATTTTTTGGCATCAGCTCAGTTTCAGATATCTAGCACATCATAAATTTAAAGCCCGAGACCCATTTAGCTTTTCCTGTAATAACAGTTTTCCTCTCTTGTGATCACGTGAACTTTATGGGTATATATCACAGGGCTGACCATGGCAGACAGCCACTTGCTTCTATAAGGGGCTAGTGCAAAACTGCACTGTCCTAGTGGTTCATGCAAAGTGCCAACACAGTTGCCAAGACAACCCTCTAAAACTTGCAAGTTGCCTTCCCTTTTCCCATGTTAAGAAGGAATGGAGGCTGGTGTCAGACCTATATTTTTCCCTTGTCTGTCTTTGAGAGGTCTAGCAACGTTGCCACTGCAAGCAATGCAGGCTCCTTGGCACCAGTGATCATGGTGAGGACAACACACTTAGCACTGGCATCCACAGAGATAATAGGCTTGATTTCAATGTGGCACCATATGCATCTTCTCAGTTGTGAATAAGAAAAAAAAGTTATCATGAGCATAGGGCATGCAGCATAAATGTTTTCTTTTGCAATATATACTCAGGAGCTCTGTTTACCTAACAATGAATTATGTTTGTTAAAAAAAATGCAAAATTACCCAAAGTATAACACTCTTCATGAGCATAAATAACCCTATTCACTTCCACAGACATAAGCAGGGAGGCCAATGATAACACCCAAATGTCAACAGAATCTATTTGAGCTTATTGAAAATAAGAGGAAATATGATGTGTTAGAAAGATCTACAGATCTACAAGTCCGCTCCAGGATGCGAATTATTTACCCAGGACTTAAAAAAACAAACAAAAAACCCACTTGCTGCTGAAGGTGTTAGCAGTGTTTTTTCTTGATTGTTTTCATTTTTCTGAAAAGTCTTATACACTCACTAACGTATTTTTTAATATATCACAGCCTAAAGACATACCAAGAATGTTCCATCATTTCAGCTGTTTCATAAAAAAAAGCATAAATACTGACACAAACCCTGACAAGACTGGCAAATTAAGTCCCTTCATCAATAGTTTTTTGTGTAGCTGCGAAGACTAGAACAGATTTCCCAGATACATTTAAGACAGACATAATATGGCAGCTGATAAGTTGTTGTTAGCACATTGTGGAATAGAATCATAGAATCATAGAATGTTTTGGGTTGGAAGGGACCCCTAGAGGTCATCTAGTCCAATCCCCCTGCAGTGAGCAGGGACACCGCTAAC